TTGCCTGCCAATTCTTTAAACCTCAGCAAAGATCAGAAAGGCTTTGGTTTCTACAGTATAAGAATATGAAATGGAGGTTCCAGAAGCCCCTGAGGTAAAGGGAAACTTATGCAGACCCATATAACCAAGCAGTGGCCTTCCTCACTGGCTAAAGTTCCCATTTTCCTGCCAAATGCCTATTTCTTCTCCTAGGATTACTCCCCACAGGCCCCTGTGGCAGGCCCTGAACTCCCTCCAGAGGTCAACCTGAGGGACCCCCACTATTTCTGGGACCACAACAAGCCTTATTCATCATTAGGTACTTCACACCCATCCACCTCCCCAAGGTGGCCTAGGAAGGTGAGGAGGCTGAAGTCCAGAGGACAAGGAAAGAATTTGCCAAGCAAACTATTGGTAGAAGCATATTCAGGACTATAACCCAAGTTTCTGGTACCCCTAGTACCTTGTAGATCTTCTGCAGCAGAGTCCTGGCTCCACAGTTCCAGACCAGGGTCCCCAGATACAGTACTAATAATGAGCACATCCAGAGAGGCCTCTTGGGCTGCTGTCCAAGCAAAAGCTACCTCAAGGGAGAATGAGGTGGGCCTAATATGTCCCTGGAGAAGCCTTATGTGTTGTCTAAGAGACTACAAGTTCCCAGTGACCAAGGCATATTCAGTATGGGGAAGCAGACTCCATGCCAGGGAAGGGTGGCTAATCCAAGGCAAGACTGGACCCAGGTCTGAAGCTTGAATCACCAGTTAGCAGCTTTGCTCATTTGAACAAGCAACTCCACCTCCCTGAGCCTGTTTGCCCTGTCCTGAGAATTTGCCCCATCTGCTTCTCAGGACTAGAGTGGGGTTTGGCAGAAATAACAATGGCTTCCACTTAGAGAGCTGGTACCATGGGCTGGGCTATACGCCAAGCACTTTACTTGCACTATGGTGTTCAGTCCTGACTATGGCAAAGCAAACTTGGTAGCAGCATCATGCCTAAAGAGAAAATGCAGAATTAACTAGGTCAAGACACTGGCTTCGAGGTCACACAAATGAGTAAATGTACCAGAATTTGAATCCTTGTCTGACTCCAGACTTCCCTCTCCACTGAAAGCCCTTTGTTAGTCTGAGTATGGTCAGATCCTGGCATAGAGGCCCAATCATTACCAGTTTATTAAATTCCCTTAACTCAAGACCTTGCTGTACAATGTAAGTCTTCCTCTCAGGTCCCGAGTAAGGGTTCAAGGGCTGAATTGAAGGGCTTGTTGATGCCTCGTTTGAGAAAGAGTTGGGCAAACTATGGTCTGCTGCCTGTCTTGATAAATAAAGATTTGTTGGAACACAGCCATGCCTATTGGTTTATGTATTGTCTATGTTGCTTTTACATGACAACAGACTTGAGTAGTTGGGACAGAGCCTAAATGACTCATAAAATAGGAACTACTATCTTTCCTATTTTATGGAAATAGGAAAAAGTTTGCTGACCCCTGATTTGAAAATTCAAGGCTCAATAGGGGGAGTTCCTTGCCAGGATCCCCTCCAAGAATGGATCACTACAAAGGGCAAACTGGATTTTCAAAAGCGCACTGAAGAGGCTTTTTCCTTTGGGGGTTCCAGAGAAATGCTGGCTGAGTTGGCAGCCCTCTGGGGCCAGAAGGAGAAGGCACTAAGTCTTCACCATTTTCTTTGGCAGTTAGCTGGCACAGGCTCACTCTGGTCAAAAAATAACCTTGGATTGAGAAATTTCAGTGGAATAACCTTTAGGCCACAAAATGGAATTATATAAGCACCTCAGAATGGCCACTCAAGCCAGGTCCCATGGTTCCCTTGGTTTGGAAGAGGAGCCTTGCCCCAATTTGGGCTTACCAAGTCAACCAGACCAGGGCTTATGGGAGAGTCTGAAGTGTTGGGCTTCAAAGCATCTACAGCTCATTTGACACCGCACCTGGGTTCCTGAAAAGTCATGTGTCTCTCTAATCTCTGTCACTTCAGAAACTTCCCTAATTTCCGGATGGATTTGAAGCAGTGTTGTTTTTCAGGTTCTCTGCCCTCACCCTTTAACCTCAGTCCAAGACCTCCTGGCCAGAAACAATCAGTTAAGTGAACTTCGTTTTCTTTTTCTAAAGCTCAGCATTTTGAGCCAGGCATGGTGGTGCACACCTGTAATCCCAGCAACTTGAGAGGATCACAATTTTGAGGCCAGCCTCAGCAATTTAGCGAGGCCTTAAGCAACTTAATGAGAACCTGCATCAAAATAAAAAGGGCTGGGATGTAGCTCAGTGGTAAAGTGCCCCTGGGTTAAATTCCCAGTACCAAAATAAAAATAATTAAAAAAAAAAAAAAAATAAGGCTCCGCATTTTGACAAACAGCCCTGCTCAGATTTTATTGTATTTATATTAGGTCAATCCAAGATATCTCCAAAGGGTCCCACCTGTATGTCCTGCTTTCTTTTGGTTTGATATCTAATTATCTTAACAGAAGGCTGCCAGCTTTCCTTCCCCTCATCCCCTGTTTGTGTCCACCCACTAGGATCTAGTTGACTAAATATGCCCCATGGACCCTGGTGGCTAATCCAGCTTCCTTGTGCCAACCCCCACTGCCCACCATCCTCCCACCAAACTTAGCCAAACATTACTGGATTTTCTGGGGCCCGTATTAACTGCTCAAACTCCTCTTACTTTCCCCAATGTCATCAGGCCACATTGTCTTATCTTGTACCCCCAATTTTTTATTTGTTCTAATTAGTTATACATGACAGCAGAATGCATTTCAACTCACTGTACATAAATGAAGCACAACTTCTCATTTCTCTGGCTGTGCACAATGCAGAGTCACACCATTCATGCAATCATACATGTACATAGGACACATCTCATTCTACCATCCTTCCCACCCCTACACCCACTACCCTCTCCCCATTCCCCTCTGCCCAATCCAAATTTCCTCCATTTTTCCCTAGCCACCCCGCATTATGGATCAGCATCCTCATATCAGAGAAAACATTTGGACTTTGTTTTTTGGGGGATTGGTTAATTCTGCTTAGCATGATATTCTCCAACTCCATCCATTTACTTTCAAATGCCATGATTTTATTCTCTTTTAATGCTGACTAATATCCCATTGTGTATATATACCACATTTTCTTTATCCATTCATCTACTGAAGGGTATCTAGGTTGGTTCCACAGTTTAGTTATTGTGAATTGAGCTACTATAAACATTGATGTGGCTGTGTCACTGTAGTATGCTGTTTTTAAGACCTTTGGGTATAGACCAAGGAGTGGGATAGCTGGGTCAAATGGTGGTTCCATTCATAGTTTTCTAAGGAATCTCCATATGACTTTATAGAATAACTGCACCAATGTGCAATCCCACCAGCAATGTATGAGTTGTACCCCAAATTTCTATTGCACTTATTGAAAAAACAAAACACATCTTGTACTTAGTTTTTTTTTTTCCTCTATGATTAGGGGACTTTCCTTTCTACTACTGTAGAAAGAGTTTTCATTTTAGAATTAGCAGACTAGATTTAAAATTCACTTGCAAGCTGTGAGACTTAGGACCAGCTGCTTCCCTTCGTAGTCTGTTTTCTCATCTGTAAAATGGGGATCCAAGGGTCTAGGATTGTAGTTCAGTGGTAGAGCACTGGCCTAGCACATGTGAGGCACTGGGTTCAATCCTCGGCATCCTATAAAATATAAATAAATAAATAAAATAAAGGTTTGTGTCCATGTACAACTAAAAATTAAAAAAATATATTTTTAAAATTGGGATCTGATAGTGAGGTTTTTGGCTCAGTTGTTAGGAAGATGAGTTAAGATTTTTCAAGAGCTCTGTAAACTGTTAAAGGCCTGCATGCTTATGGGTCAGTATTAGATTGTTCTGCCCTGCTCCCACCCCTTTTTTTCTTGGTTTCACGTGAAATTAGAGCTTTGAGGGTGATTAGGGAAATAACAGGCCAATCAGAGTAAAACCAGCCCACCCAAAACCTCTGCCTAAACCCAGTTCCTCCAATGACTAGTTTGTCCAAAAGTCAAACTAGTAATTTTAAAATGAGACATTTTGCACCAATTTTCCTAAGAAACACTTCAAACATGTCATATTTTTAAATCACTATGTCATAATTTGCAGCATTTTGTCAATGGTGAGATAGTTTTATATGCTTATGGGTGGCTTCTATTTTATCTCCTATTGGTTTTATGACTTTTTAGCAATTTTGTCTGAAGGCACTTTCTTTAAAGTTATATATTGTGCCACTAAATACTTGTCAAATCTATAGAATTCCCCCACAAGATTTATCAAATGCATGCATTTTGATCACTCCCATCTTCATCTCATTGGGTTTTACTCTGCATAGTGTACGTCTGTGTGCACCTAATGTGTTTATTAACCAAATTAGCATGTACCCAATGTTCCTTTCTGTTCTGGAAGATATTGACATTTTGACAACAAGCATGAAGAAGTGAGACAGATGGGGTGGAATTTTATTGAACTCCTTGCATTTTATTTTTCAGTCTATCTCATTCATCTTACAACTCCACTTTGTGAAACATAAAATGATACATGCAAAGTCATTACCAAATGTATTTATTGCTGAAAACATAACATTTTTTTAAGAAAGGCAAACTGGCTAAAAAGTCCCAAAAGTGTTCAAAAGTAGATAAAATAGAAGACACCCACCAATACAAAACTTTTAGTACAAATCCCACTTTTAATCAGCATGTTAAATAAATTGCTTTTTTAAAAAAATCCTTTAAATGACACTGCTGCCAGACAAAAATTAGGACACCCAAACAGATGCCAAAGACTAAAAAGCAGGCTGAATTTTGTGTGAGCTGGCCATTATGCATAGATTGCTTTTGTGAGCCTGTGGCAAGTCAGTTTCAGGACACTTGACCTAGAACCAATTTGGGATGCAAGCACTTACCTCCCTGAATGTGCAATCTGTGGGCACAGGGACAACCATGGCACTGTGTGGGGGAAATGCCCCTTCTGAACATGACCTCCAAGAGTAAGGGCAAACTGTCAGCTTTTAACTCTTTATTATAAAGACATATTTACACAGATCAATCTTTACAAACACAGGAAACACAATTACAGGAAGGGGACAATTTCTTAATGGAAAGGGTTTTAATATCTTTGTATAAATTAGTATAAGAATCATACACAACCACTTTAAATAAGAGAGCACCCTTAGCCCACCCACTACCCTCCTCTGCCCTCTGTCTCCTATCTCTCTCAGCCATCCTCCCTCTCTTCTTCCCTTCCCCATGGGGCTGGGTTGGCTATAGGTCATGGCAGGCTGATGAGGCAGGAGACGCAGGAAGGAAGAATAAGAAGGCAAGGTCCCTACTGGGGGGCCTTGAGGCAATGGCGGCAGCAGCAGAACAGCAGCAGCATTAGCAGCAGCAGAGGGGAAAGGACTTGAGGGGAGGTGGGCAGGTGAACATTGGGGTTATTGTGGGACTTGGGGGGCCCTGACTCCCTCTGCCCCAGATATATGTAAGTGGGCATTGAGCTTCTGTCTTCCCTTTTCTCCCTCTTGGAAAGCATCTGGGAAGGAAATCTGCACAGGCAAAGGCAAGAGGGTCCCAAGAGGGAAGGGCTGAGAGGCCCCTCAGGAAAGACAGGCCCTGGTGAATGGAGTGCAACCCTACCTGTACATCCTCCCATCTCTCCTTCTTTGCCTTCCCTTTCTTTGCCACTCTCTGCCCTCTGCTCCCCAAGGAAGTCCACTAGGAAAGAGGGTCCAATCAACACGAAGGGGAGGCCATTGGGTTCAATGATTTAAGGCTACTTCCGGCATTTGACAACCAATATTGGGTCTGAACATTAATCCCAGTGCCTGAGCTCCCCTGTTAAAGGCCCCCAGGCATGGGAGTGCTGTCAGAAGAGGGGCAGCTGGCCAGTTATGGAACCATATGGCCCAGGTTGGGAATGGAGCAGCAGGGGAAGGCAAGAGAGGTGGGAGCAGCTCCATCCCCACAACGGGGCAGCTCACAGCCAGCTTGCCTCTCCCTTCCCTTCCCAGACACTCCCAGCCATAACCCCAGCAAAAGGCACTACATTTGTTTTGAAGACATCATTAAGAGGGAAGAGGACATCATCAAGTGGGAATCTGGAGACCTGGTCCCCATTCTGACTCAGCAGAAACCCTGAGCAGGTCACTCCTCACTCCAGGACTCTGTTTTCACAGGCTTTGGCATAAAGAGGTTGAGCTAAGTAATCTCCAAGGGTCCTTTCAGCTCTGATATACTGGGATTCTTGGCAAAAACAACCTTCCTATTTGGCATTCACTCCTGGGAGGGTACAGAGCCACAGTAGGCCCGGCACCCTTCCCACGTGACCTGGAGCTTGAACTAGTTGTAGAGGATAGAGAGAAAGAATGTGTTAGGAGACAGAATAAGGTGACAGAAGTACCAAAGTACTTCAGAGAGCCTCTCCTTCTTTTCTTCCTGAATGAAGCCACAGGGATGAGGAAGAGGCTATTCCTGTTTTGCAGTGCCTCGCCCCACTTCACCAGAAGACCATTTCTCCCCATTTCAGTTTCCCCAATGTACCCTCTCTGGATCCCAACACCCAGCCCCTCTAACTAGAATCTCTCATTGCACATCTTTGTATTCCTCTCTGGTGGCTGAGTGAGTGTCCGACTGACAAGAAAATACGGATCTGCAGGAGTCCACTGAAGAAGAGAGTGTTTCCATCCAGATTCCAGGGCAGACTTGAGGAGGGAAGAGCTAGCTGAAGGGTGGGGGCATTAAATAGGTAAAGTAGGGACGAGGGTGTACAGCAGGCCAGGGAGAAGCTGGGTCTCCAAAATCAGTCCAGGGAAGGGCCAGAAAGATGGACTACATGGATCCTTATGAGAGAAATGGAATTATCTGAATGAGGAGCAGGACCACACCATTAGGGGAAGCTGGTGGGCTAGAAGAGCTGGGACTATCAGCAGCTAGAACAGGTGCAAAACGACAGCTGAATGGATGTGAGGTCTCCAGAGAAGCTGATCAAACTGTGGAGTAGAGAGAACCGCAGGGGGTGGGCACCTGGGGGCCCCTTCAGTCCTAAAGAAACAAAAAGTAACAAGAGAAATCATGGACATGTTCTAGGTCAAAGGACTCCCCCACCTCAGGAAAGGAAAGGACAGCCTTCAACCCCTTCAACCCCTGAACCTAAAACCCAAGGCTCTGAGTCGATGTCCCTCTGTCCCAGCTACAGAGGGATGGTAACAGTCCAGGCCTCAGGGGCAGCCTTAGCCCCTGCTTTCTCTGCAGCTACCTTTGATACCTGAAGCTCTGGAATAGCACATCCACAGCTCTCTTCCTGCTCTCTGCCTCCTTCGTTCTCACTCCTAGACCTGGACACCTATAGGCACAATCTTTGCACCTCTCCCCAGTTAAGCGCTGCTGGGACTTCCAGTATTCTCCAATTGTCAGCCTGCCCAACCCCAGGCAACAGGGTAGAGGGGATGTAACACTCAGTTGTTGGGAAGTCCAGATATCAGTCCCAAGTGTCAAGCCCTTCTCTGGGACTCAGTCTTCCCCTCTGTAAAATGGAAGGGCTAGATGATGTATTTGGCCAGTGGTAAGAAGCAGGCTTATTAGCTTCTAGGCTCTCCCTCCCCTTCCCATTGAGCAATGCCCACTGAGCAGGGGATCCAGTAAATACCTGCTTCAGAAAGGCATGGGGCCCTTGTGGGAGAGGCGGGGCCGCTGGCGGCGAAATTTCCTCCGGCCTCCCTGCCAGGGTCCATTCCTCGAAGCCCTGGGCTGCACCAGGTAGCGAACATTGCCTTCCTCCAGCTCCTTCCCGTCAGGAGGCTGCATCAGGGGCACTGCAGAAAGGAAAAGGGCTGTTAACTAGGAAGGCTGATGAAAATGGCAGATGGCCAAGAAAGGGTCCCACAGACCATAGGCCCACAGAAGAGGACAATTTCTCCATGAGGTGGCTGGCACTCCTCATAGCTTTTTTGTTGTTGTTGTTTTCTATCCCAATGAAAAATCTGCCATTTACACACTGTCCTGGGGCAAACAGAATGCACTACTCACATCTTGCCATAGAGGTAGCTGATTCTATACATTTTTGATGATTGTATCATGTTTTTGACAGGCACAAACAAGTTCTTTTCTTTGGAAAGTCATGAGGGGGGGTGCACTCTGGGGCATCAGGCCTGTACTTGGCTGGGGTGCAGGAGGCAGTAACCATGGTGCCCCAGTAACTGGTGTACTTTAGACATTTCAAACAGACACCATTACTATGACTCTGCCTCCATGGATCCATCACCCAGATTCAATAGCTATCCAGATGGAGTCACATATGCTCCAGTTATCCCTTTTCTTTTTTCTTGGCTATGGTATTTTAAAGCAAATCCTGGACATCATCACGTCATTGTACTCCTACATCCTTTGATGGGCAAGGTGACCCACTTACGAATACTAGAGCTCCATGCCTCACCCATAGGCATCTCATCAGTGGTTAGGCATCTCAGACTCACATTTGCTCCTGAGACTGCCCCATGGGTGTGGCTGGGCCATCTGTGACTCAGCCTGTGAACAGATTTAGAGGCTAATAAATATTGCATGCATGGTACATGGGTGGATACATGGATGGATGAGTGAATGTCTATGCACTACAGCATGTGTATGCACCAGGAGAGTAGGCTGAGGCAGTTGGCACCTCCCTGCCAATATCCTATCTCCTGTCATTCCCAGATCACATCTCCCATCCTGGGTTGATGTAAATTCCTTCCATTCTGACCCTAACTGGTTTCTGTTCTGCTCTCCCAGGCTGCACTTGACATCTGCACACATGGGGCTCAGAGTAGGAGTCTGCTGATGCCAGTCTGAGCCCCAATGATGGAATCCAAGTGGTGCTGGGTGTACTTGGGCATGATGAGGGAGAAGGCACTCTTGTCAGTTCTCTCAGAGCCTAAAGTCAAGCCAGGGAAGCCAAGCTGGCACCCAGAGTCAAGCGTGGCCACCAGAGTCAGGCTGTGTGATGAGATGAGATGGTGCTGGGAAGAGGCAGATGGGCAGGGTGCTTGTGCAATGCCTAGTATGGGGCCAGTCTGCAGGCCACTTATGATAATGAATACCATTCTTTCTCCCCGTCACACCATTAGATTTGCCTTCAGCTATATCTTGTCTCTTGAGCCTCATTGCCATTCACTCAGGAATCCCTAATAGCTCACAGTTTCCATATAGCCTCCCATAGGCTGCTCCTCATCCCCCAACCCCACCTCCAACATCCCCAGGCTCTGGTTCCTTCCTTGGCTCCTGTGTCCTCCTCTGCTTGCACACAGTTTCCAGGCATTTAGTTTCCTCTTAGGCCAAAAGCAGGTAAGGTTTGTCCTTTGGGCCTTCTTTGCCCAGCCTCTGGGGCCTGTTGTTCTTTCTTCCTGCTCACATCCAGACGCATATGCCCACCCCACACATGCTCATCTCTAACCCTGCACCTTCCTTTCCTTATCTCCAACAAAAATCACCAGGCCCACTGTTAACTAGGGTCACTTGGTTAATGAGCCACACTTCCCTGCTAATGATCAAGGTGGGTTAATGTGTCAACTGAGCCCCTAAACTCATAACCTATGAGGATTAAAACAAAAATTAGCTGGGCACAGTGGCATATGCCTGTATTCCCAGTAGCTGGAGAGGCTGAGGCAGGAGAATCACAAGTACAAAGCCAGCCTCAACAACTTATGGAGGCTTTGAGCAATTTAGCAAGACCCCATCTCAAAATAAAAACAAACAGAAAAGTCTGGAGATGTGGCTCAGTGTTAAAATGACCCTGGGTTCAATGTTCAGTACCAAAAAGAAAATTATATTTGCATTTTGGAATAGGAGGTATAGCTGGAGTGGGGGTGCTGCTTCTACGCTATCTGATCTAGAGATTTCCTCTTGCCATTTCCTAAGAGGCTGGCACTGGGGGTAGAGGGAGAAGAGGGAAGGACTTTTATTAAGTTCCCATCCCAACAGTTCCAGTTTATGACCTGAGTTTTGGGGTTCCCGCAAGGCTCACTCTGCACACTGAGGATGGATCTGAATGATGCTGATGAGTAGTTATTATCAGAGACACACTCAGGGTTCAGGGCAGTGATAACTGTGCTAAGCATGAGTCCAGGCATAAGGGAAGGACCCTAAGGGCCTTAAAATGTAAGTGAAACCTTGGTTCTAAAATCCATGCCTTCAACTACTTGGGGACAGGGGCAATAACACAGGTCACCGAACCCTAGGGGTGATCAGGCATGGGAAGAGAGGCACAGAGCCAGAAGGGGAAGAATATCATCCTCACATGTTCAGCATCCTAGACTGTGCCTGTGACATTCATGAAGGGAGGGCTGGGAAGGGTCCCATGGAAAGAGAGGTCACAAGCCAGGATGGGGAGCAGGGATGGTGGCTCAGACGGTGGCCAGGAAGATGTCTAGACTCTAGGCATACAGAGAAGAGTAACCCTGAACTCACTGAGTATCAACCAGGCCCTGGAGAATAGCCATCTTGAAGCCCCTGGCCTCTTGCATCCCATTGGATGGAGGCTTATTGTCCTCTGCATCGCTGGAAGTCTATAGGCTCCTCCTGCACCCTAAACCCATTCACCCACCTGTTTCCTACTTTTGATGCTGAGTCTGGCTCACCGTCAGATAAGCTGACACCTGAAACTCTACCTTTGTCCTGTCCAAAGGGACAGATTAGAGACTATTATTTCTCAACACTGCAGAGATCCTGTCTGTACAAAAGAACTCCCCTTTAGAAATAGGGGCCTCCCAAGTTCACCTCAATATTTTCTTCCAACTCATGTGCTACTTACAGGGAGATGGGCGATCCTTCAAAGAATCTCAAACCTAGAGGGATTAGAGCCATTGCTCTCTGAAGTGCCCTGAGTCATGAATCTGTAGCATCTCCACACTGAGAACCACAGTCAGGGGAGAATGGGATTTGATTTTCATGCCATCTGAACTCCAACCCTGCCAATGTACAAAGAGGTAAATGCAACTTTTCAAGAACTTGCCAGCCTCACCAAGAATGATGCACCTGTTTTCCCTCTGGTGGTTTGGCCTGTCTTGTGATTGCTTTAAAGCTTACACTCATGCTCTGGTAGGGACCCTGCTGGCAATGTACCCCCTGCCTCTGCTGCTCTGTAGCACTGTGTCTGTCTCTGAGATGAGGCAACTTTCCTTTGTCTGCCCACCCTCTCACCCCAGTCGCTTTCTCCAGGACCCTGTGCTATCTCCTCGTGCCAGCTCTGAAGTCCTGGACACACCAGGCTCTGGCAGCCTGGCCCTCCACTTGACCTGTATTAGTCCTCTGCTTCTGAGAGGCCTGGCTCAGGTTCCATGGGCGCTTAGTGCTTAGGATTGGGAATGGAGTGGAGATGTCCCCCCACTGGGGGGAATTTAGTAGGCTGTCCTCACACTGCCACTGACTGCATATTTTGAGCAGGGGTTGGAAAGGGGAAGCCAGAGGGGAGAAAGGGAGGTACTCAAAGACCAAGGGACACTTGGTCTTTGCTCTCAGACTCAGAAGAGCAAAGTGTATCCCAGGTCAGAAGGCAGTGGTGGAGTGTTGTTGAGGGGGAGAAGGGATTTAGGGGTGGGGGTGAACATCCCATGTCAGGAGAGAATGTGGAGTGAGAGGAGAAAGCATAGTTTTCAGGCCTGGAAGTTTTACTGGGGACTCTAGCTGAAGAGAGTGCATGTAAATCTGGGCCAAGGACAAGATAGTTCTGGGGTCCCTGTTTCTAGGGCAGGACAGAAAGCAGGAGGAGTGGGGCATGTATACTTAGACCCTTGGCTAGTAGCCACCTACCCTCCTTGGCTCCAGGATAAGTCAAATGGTGGAAAAGCAGCGGGAGCTTTGGAAGTTTCCAGTGCTAGGCTTAAGCAAAATATGAGGGCAACAATGTCCCCAAATCAGGGTAGGCAGATGACATATGAAAAAGGGAGAAATAAAACAAGAAGTGGCAGGGTCTGGGCCAGAAGCACACAGTGTTCTGGCAGCATGACCAACTTCTCGTCCTTTGAAACCAGCTCTTCCCATCACCAGTACTGCCACAATAGCCAGACTCCTCATAGGCTCAAGTGGTTTCTGTTGGCCAAGGGTCTCCCTGTTGCTTCAAAGGGAGCATTGAGTGTGCTGATCCCAAAACCTCAGCTTCCTCTAGGACACCCTTTCTGCACCTCTTCTTTTTCTCTGAAGGCAATGCCATGGACCATTTGCCTGTGGTTCCTTGTCTTGCCAACTCTACTGGATGATAGCTCCTGGGAGGTGGGCCCCTGTGATGTGTCTTTATTTGTTCCCTTCCAACCATTGCCTGCCTGACAGGAGTTTCTGAGAAGAAAGATTACTCTCTTCTTCCCAAGGAGGTGACTGACTCAGTGCTGGGGTCTTTTTAAAATATTTTTATTAGTTATTGATGGACCTTTATTTAATTGCTTATATGTGGTGCTGAGAATCAAACCCAGTGCCTCACATATGCTAGGCAAGCATTCTACCACTGAGCCACAACCCCAGTCCAAGTGCTGGAGTCTTAAAGAGGGAGATCACTGGACATCCAGCTGGAGTCAGGAGGTGCCACACCCAACCAATGCATCCTCCTAAGAAGCTCAGCAGTGCTCCTGGGACCAGGGCAGTGCCAAAGAACAAGAGCAGAGAAAGGAGGTTGCCTATATAAAGAGGTAGGCAGAGTTGGCTGGACCCCCAGAGGTTCCTGGGCTGTAAACCATCCTTGTATTGGAGGGTTTGGAATCAAGTCCAGCCCTATGTTCTTCCTCTAGGAAACTTGCCGCCTTTGCCCTCTCCTTCCCTCCAACCTCATTTTCTTGTGACTCCAGCCTTGGCACTGGCATTAATCCACCTAGTCTTGGCCTTCTCCTTCTGGTGCCAGGCAGGCAGCAGTGACAGCCAGATCACAGGACTGTGGCAGTTGGAGGTGAGAGCTGGCAGCCCAGGGAGACACTGACGCACAAAGGACAGGCAACATGGGCAGGAGCTGCAGAGGCATGGATAGGGACCAGGTTTGGGGCAGGCAAGGGAAGCCAGTGCCAAGTATTACCAAGTAGGGGTGTGATACAGGTAAGGGCAAAAGAACGCCCGCCCCCAGACCTGCATGGAGATGCCAAGTCAGTGCCTGTTTCCTGGTTTGGTGCTTGGAGACACAGGGGTGAAGGAGAAGCATGCACATGCCTGGGAAAAAGTGGAGGCTGGAAGCCAGGATATGGAAGTAGCATGGAGGCTGTGGGGAAGGCGTCCTGTGTAGGAGCCGCCGGGGAGCCCGGAGGAGACCAGAGAGGACCTTGGAGTAATGGAGAAGACCGGCGGGGGCAGTCTGGAGGAGGCCACCTCTGCTCACTTGTAGGCTGAAAGTAGCAATAGCTGGGATCCACGCCGCCGCCGCCCCCGCCCCCGCCCCAAGCTCTTGCCTATGCAACAAGTGTCACGTCGGCATGTTGGCACATCATCCCCAGTGGCCTGCGGCCCCTAACCTCCAGAAGCCAGAAGACCTTCAACGCGGGAGACCAGCCCACCTACCTCAGGTCAGTTCCCTCCTCTGACCCACGCGGAAAGCTGGGCAGGCCCTCATGCCCCCACCACGTGGGGTGCAGGGTACGGGACACGAGGCGCACGCCTGGGGCCCTGAGCTTCTCGGGATTGAGAGGGGCAGTCAGAAGGGACAAGGCTCCAGATTGGTGATGCTCGAGGCCATTCGGAACCCTCACCCCCCAGGAACCGGTCCCCGCGGCCGCTGCCCCTGGCTGTAGACGCCCTGTCAATCTGCCGCTCGGCGCAGCCAGCGCGTGGCTGCTCCTGCATGGCTCGCGCCGGGCTCTCTGGGAGGCCGAGAGAGCGCGAGTGGGGCGGAGGGAGGGGAGCGCGCCGGCTGTAGCGGGGTAAAGCAAAAGGAAGAGCGGGTGAGCGGGAGGGCGCGCACTCACCTCCATACACCGCAGTCAAGGAGAGCCAGAGCAGCAGCAGCGCCTGCACGCAGAGCCGCAGATTCATGCTGCTCCTCGAGCCGCCGCTGCCCTGAAGAGCCGGCGTGAAGGGGGAGAAGCTGGGAGCCCTGAGGCACGGAAAGGCGCAAGCCGCTGCTGGCGCGTGCCGGAGCGGGGCTCTCGGGGCTCCCGGGCCGCGTGAGTGAGTGCGCAGCAGTCTGCAGCCGCCGCGCCGGCTCTCCAGCAGCCTCTCTCTGCCGCCGTGGGGCAGCACCGCGAAGCCGGGCTCTGCAGCGATCTGTTTCCAAGTGGCAGGCTTTGCTCGGCCGCGGCTGTACTGCTGTTGGCCCAGGCTGCCAGCGAGAATGCTCCCCGCTCACTCCAGGGGCTGCATTTTGTAGCTTGTGGCTTGGCCGCGAGCCCACTTGGTCATGTGGTCATCGGGAGGACTGGAGGGGGGGCCAGGAAGAGGGAGAGAAGCGAGCCTCCCGCACCGCCCCCCTCCAGGCACGCACTCTGCAGCCTCAGGCCGGGTGCAAGAGGGAACCCCGAGGTGGCCCCATAACAAAGACTGAGCGACTGAGCTCTCGGACAACCCACAACCGCTCCCCGGACAATGCCAGCCTGGCCAGGGGCCAGAGAGTTTGCAAAGACCTAAAGGATTTCAAATACAGGAAGCATTTAGGGCGGTGGAGGGGCACACTTAACCCTTTCTCACCTCGCTTCCTTAACAGCTGTCAGGAAACTTGGGCACTCAGGGTAGGACCTCTTCCGGACTGCCCCCACTCAGACCCTGCACCTCAGACCCTGACCATGGTCATTTCTCTTGCCACTATGCATCTCCAAGGGTTTGGTCAAAAACCGACCCCCACCCCAGAATTTTGGTCCTCTCTCTTCTTCATCTTCAATTGAATTTGAATTGGGGTGATTGCCAAGGGTTGCACCCAGCACCCTCATTTCTCCTACCATCACCCAGGAGGTACCCTCTACCTGGGATACCTGCACCTCACTCTGCCCATTAGCTCTTCATTTTTGCCAGCAGTCCAGCAAATCCCATCTCATCCAGAGTCTTCCAGAGGTAACAATAATCCAGTAGAGGCTGTCTTTCCTTTCTTCCTCACTCTTGGGACATGGGACAGCTCCTACAGTGTCCCTTTTCTTGTTCCCTGAAGCTGTCCCCTATCTAGTTCCCCATCATCATCATAAGAGGGGTTAGTTTACCCAATTCCACACAGTCTAGGCTGAATTGGTTGTGCATATACTTGGGATTCCCCTTTTGAAGTGGGTCCTGAAGTTTGCCTCTCCAGACTACACTGTAAGCTCCTTCTGCAGTCTGGGAGCTCCCAAGGAAAGGGCTGCCTCTTGCATCAGACTGGGAATCCCCTAAGATAGGACCCTGTCCTCTCAGTCAGTTGCATCTCTCCAAAGTCCCCAATATCGCACTCTGCACATAGGTGGCACTCAACACATGTTAAAAGACTAATTCAAAAGGTGTTTTCACCTTTCAGCAAGCCAGGCAGTTTGCTTGAAGTGCAAGTCCAGTTTTGCACAAAAGGTACATTGGACAGTGTTTATGTGTGTCATAAAAAGACATGAGAAACCATGGTGTATTATTATAGAACATTACAAAAATCCAATATATACATTATTTATTATTAGTCTGCCTATACCAGAATTTCAGTGCCACAAAAGAGATCTTTATTTTGTTTATGGTTGTGTCCCAGAACAGTGCCTGGGATATGATAGGTGCTCAATGTGTAATTTTGAATATATGACTGAAGTTTTCAAATGCATCCCTGTTGCCTAAATCAAGGAAGAGGGAAGGGAATATGATACAGTTCTTGGTAATGGTTCATGATCCCATTAACCACAATCAGGTAGAAAAAGGGAATATGAAGCAAAGACTCTCTATTATTCAGGGAGACCCAGACTGTAAGCAGTGGGCATAGGTAACATGAGATCATTCTTCCTTCACTGTTCCCTGGAAAGTGTCCAATCAGGAAGAGAAATACTTAGCCCCTAGGCTCCACCATTATCTTCTATAGGCCCTTGTTATCCCCTAGATTCATTGGATCCTGTGGGAATGATAGTCTCTTCCCTACCCATTTCAGGGCTGTTATGGGATTGAATGAGGTACTATGCATGAAAGTACTGTGCAAGTCAGGAATAACCCCTTGCTCCTTTTGCTCTTCTGTCCCTCATTTTTAGGAAATTTGGTGCTCTGACCCTTAATTGAACAAGCACATGCATACCCAAATAAGTACCCTCCATATCTAGATTAATAGAAGACTTCATATTTAATTGCACCACACCTTTACTTAGGGTCTCTATGGGCTACAGCTAAGTGGTGACAGCAGTGTTTTCCTATACAGTAGCTACTAACCATGTTTTAAGTGAAGTTAAAATTTCAGTTACTCGGTCACACTGGCCATACTTCTGTTGCAGAGTCACATATGGCTAGTAGCAACTGTATTGATCATCTCAGAATAGAATTTTCAATCATTGCAGAAAGTTCTATTGTATGTCTCTGGGTTAAAGCACTGATCTATTCTACTTTTTCCTATTATCCTTTTCCCCAGCTTACCTAGTTTTCAAAATGTGCATATAAGGGGGGAGCCCCAAAAGTAGCCTGGGGTGTGCCTCAGTGGTAGAGCACTTGCTTAACACACACAAGGCCCTGATTTTAATCCCCAACACTGCAAAACACACACATGTATGTGCATTTACATACAAGTAAATGATACAAATTAAAGCACAGCAGCAGTAAATTGAAGGTATTTATTTGAGGCAACATTTAAAGAGCTGAACACTTGGGAGAATCATTTTAAAACCTAACTTCTCTCCACTTAACTAAATTGTATAAATTTTCCTAGTCCCAGATCTAAGATCTCCTCTTTCCTCATAGGTACTTTTTCCCACAGTGACCTTGCCCTCTTTGTGCCAGCTATGGGTGGTACCTTTCATGGCCTGTTACTCTTGAAAACCATTGAGAGCACTTTTGTATTGTCATGTCATTCTCTGGACCTGCTGTGCTTAAGAGAAGGTTGAACACCACTGTATCCCTGAAATCAAGCCCCATGAGGCAAGGAGTACAACTTTGGTTTCTCACTTTGGACCCCTTGCAGACTCCTATATATCTCAATATCATGTTCAAATGACCAGCTTTCCTATTCGTCTCCATCTATCCAACTTTAAGATCACTGGAATGATAGCACCTAGCACCGTGCCTGGCACATAGGTGGCACCCTGTAACTGTTTGTCAAATAAATAAATAGCTGCAACAGAACTCTGTGCTGTCTCTTGTTCAGGAAAATGATACTCTGTCTCTGAAAGCCCAGGAAACTAGTCACACTCCCTGCTCTAAGGCTGCAGGCTGAGGTGCATTGTTGCCCTTGGGGCTTGGGGCTATAGTCAAGGACAGGACTCAGTCTTTCACTCTCCAGGATGGTGAGGGACAATCCTGAGAGCAGGGGTAGGATTTAGTGTTTTTGGGGGGGATGGAGATGAGATAGATGACCTACATGAAACCGATTTGTGGACTTGTCCCCCTCATCGGCACTATCACAAGCTATTCAGTTCTGCAGAGTGTCCTATGTCATCGCCACCAGTTACTGCTGCTCAGTTAATTTGTCCACCTCTCTATACTGTGGGTTTATATGAACAATGTAGTGTATTAAAAAAATTCAGATTTTTATAACTGATTTCTGCCCCTCAATCCCATTCATTAGTTGTGTGACCTTAGGCAAGTTGCTTAGCCTCTCCAAAGCTATTTCTTCATCTATAAAATGAGCATAGTAATGGTACCTACCTTATTATGTGCTATGGTTTAAATGTATATGTCTCTCCAAAATTCACATGTTGAGACCTGGGGTTGTGGCTCAGTGGTAAAGCATTTGCCTAGCATGCATGAGGCACTGGGTTCAATCCCCAGCACCATGCAAAAAAACTAAACAAACAGAATTCATATGTTGAAACTAAACCCCAAGATAATGGTATTAAGAGAACAGGCCTTTTGGATGGTGGTTAAGTCTTGAGAGCTCCACCCTCACAAATAGATTGGTGCTCTTATAAGGGAGGTTTAAGGGAGCAGCTGTTTCCTTTTTTGCCCTTCTGATCCTCCTGACATGTGAGGACACAGTATTTATGACCTCCAGAAGAAGCAACATCCAAGATGCCATCTTGGAGGCAGAAAAGAAGGCTTGAAAGCTCTCACCAGACACCAACATGGCAGTGCGTTGATCTTGGATTTCCCAGCCTTCAAAACTGCAAGCAATAAATTGCTGCTATTTATGAATTACCCATCCTTGAATATTTTGTTATAGCACCAGGAATAGACTAGGACATTATGGTTGGGTGATTAAATGAGATAATGCATGTCAAAATACTTACTATAGTCTGCATCCATGATAGTTGCTTATTCAATGTTTTCTCCTTTGCTTGACCTGCCCTTCCCCCTACCTTTGAGTCTGTCCTCTGGCCTCCTGGAACTGACTGATCATGAAGGAAGGACTCTGTATTTGTCCTCCTCAGTTCACATCTGTGTTCTTTGAAGTCATCAAAACTGCTTACTATCTTATTCCCATAAAACACCAATATTTGTTGGACTCATCTGATGAATATGCTTGATTACGGAGTTCATACATGATAATTTCTGGGAGTACTGAGGGTTTAACCCAGGAGCCCTTTACCACTGATCTACATTCCCAGTCCTATTTGTTTTATTTTGGGACAGAATTTCACTAGCTGAATGTCTGGCTAAATTGCTGAGGCTAATCTCAAAATTCTCCTGCCTCAGCCTCTCAAGTTGCTGGGATTATAGGTGTGCACCACCATGCCTGGCTATGGTAATGGTTTGAGGTCATGCCTCTTAGCTATGATATTCATTCTAATAGGGCTTTTGGGAGACAATGTCCTACCCCAAGGTAATATCAAACTCTGTCTTTTCAAGCAAGGAGACACTTCAATGAATTTCATTGTCTTCTTTACACATAGCTCGCCTATTTCATAATCAACTAAAGAAGACTATATAAAGCACTCAAAAACTACACCAAAAAAGTAAATAACCCACTCAATAAATGAGCAAACACACTGAACAGAGACTTCTGAAAAGAAGCACAAATGCCAACATGTGTTTTAAAATGTTCATCATTTTTAGCCATCAGGGAAATACAAATCAAAACTACATTGAGTATAACTTATAACCACAAGAGTGGGACCCTAAGTAGAATAAGTTATACTCTATGTATGTATAATTTGCCAAAATACATTCTACTGTCATGTATAACTAAAAAGAACAAATTTTAAAAGTTAAAAACCACAGAAATGTCATTAGAAATAATGCATTCAAAATGTAACC